AACCAATCAAGTGCACCCAAAACTAACATAGCAAATGAGTAAAAATAATTTGGTTGATCAAAACAAATTCAAAATATTTTCAGACTAAATATTAATTACATAGCGTGCACTACTCAATAACATCAGCGTGCACCATCGATTTTTGGATGCATGCTTACACGTGCTGAGTAACCAATCAGCGTGCATTATATCGAGGCTATATTCTAAACCTTCTACATTTTTCTATTTCCTTTCCCATCCCATTCCATTTTCATTTTTTATATTTTCACCTCTCATCTCATAGTCATCTTCATTGGGTATTAAGGAAAAGGATTGGTGGTGTGGGCTGCTACTGAGTGGCATCTTATAGAGTGACGCAGATTCGATTCCTAGGGTCGGTGTCATTTGTGTTTAGAGTCGCTTGTTGGTTCTCTCGTGTGCTTCAAGGGTTTTTCTCTGGGTTCAACTCATAAATTCCAATGTGATCTGTCGTCGATTCTTTAGACAAGCCTCTGGCTCTGTAGATTTAGCATTAATAACTCCCTACATTTGTCGTAAAATAATTTCACATTACAGGTCTACAATACCTTTTATTTCTTCCTATTTCTCTTTCATTCACACATACTTCCCATTATTTTAATCCCATATTGAGGCTTCACACTGACCTCGTACTGTCATTTATTGCAGCCATTTCATTGGCGAGGGTTGTACAATATCCCCACATACAGGTAAGCTGGTTATGTTATGATTGAGTGTTGAAACGAGGTGTTCATCAGTCCAGAACGTTAGGAATAGTGGGAGAAATTATAAAGAACCACAATTGATCCTCCATCTAATTTCCTTGTCATCATCATTATCATCATCACCATCAACAACTCAATCACCATCATTATTATTATCACCATCATCATTACCATCTCCATCATCACCATTATCATCAGCACCATCATCATCATCACCATCATTATCATCATTTTGTTCTATGCAATATTATGATCATTATCTTCATCATCATCATCAGCATCACCATTATCATCATCGTTATCGTCATCATCATCATCATCAACATTATCATCATCAGCATCATCAGTACCATCATCTTCATCATCATCACCATCAGTATCATCATTCAATCATTATAATAATACAACCAATGTTTTTAGTGGGAATTAAAGAGAGTAGCAGAACAGTTCACCCCATATTGCATTCTGATTGGCTACGTTACTTTTATATAAAGTTTTTAGTAATGGGCAATAGGTGAGATAAGTCTCAGTTGAGTATATAACTCAGAGGAACCGTGTGGTTCTAGAATATAACCATTTAGTATAAATGCACAGGTGACTATTGAAAATCTCGCACGTTAATTGGTCGAGAAACTCAGATTATCACACGATAATCACCTCCAGAGATAATCCGAAATGGCGGCCAGCTTCTTTGTTGCTGTTACCAAATTTTAAATATGTCTTTTATCTTCTTTCTTTTCTGTTTTTAAAGAGTCACCTGTATATTTATACTAAAACAATAATTATTATTCACCTCAGGCTCAGTGAGTATCGGCAATAATAACCTCAACTTCATTTCAGTTATTATTCCCCAATATTCAGTTCGTCTCGGCGAAAAATTGTTAAGYATTCCCCACCACGAAGAAAAAATTGAAATTCCAGAGAAGTGGGTGTACCTTTTTTAAAAGTTCCTCCATTGTTGGGTATGCAAATTTTCTTGAACGACACATTCTCAATTCTACATAGAAGTGAGGCTATAGGGTACAGCCTGCAATAAATTTTGAGAAAAATTATACAAAATATATGGGCTTTGCTTTATATTTCTAAAGCTATTTTCTACAAGCATTTTGCTTTGCTGCTCATAAAAACGATGGCTGAACATTTTACATTTKAAAATAACTTTTAGAAATCCTTGTCTGGTGTGAGTAATTTGGAGGATGCCACCTGCCTGGAGATGCTAGTAAACACTGATGAACAGAGCCTGGGGAATTTTGGTAAGAATATTTCTCAAGTTGATTTATGTTAATTTAACCGCCACCCGGTTAGCTCAGTTGGTAAGAGCGTTGGTCTGTTGTGCRGGAGGTCGTTGTTCAAGCCTCAGACGGACCTACACTCAGGGTCTTAAAATAACTGAGGAGAAGGTGCTGGCTTTGTAATTACATCTGCAAATGGTTAGACCTTCAAGTCTTCTCGGATAAGGACTTAAAAACCGTAGGCTCTGTCTCCCAACCCTTCCTAACCTACAGCAAATGGGGGATATAAAAGAACCTGAGCCRTAAGTGTGGTTATTCACTACACAGCTTAAAGTAACGGCTGGTGAGTCACTGGTCATGATGACAGGCCAAATTAGTTTTAGCTTAGTTATACCTTCTTTTGAATTCTGACTCAACATTACTGGTCAAAATGACCGGCAAGGTAAAAATTGACTGGACGAGTTCCAATTCTGGGCGAACATTGTCCAATATCTGGCCATTAGTTTAAACCCAGCATGAAGAATAACATGCACATTCTATTGAGTTCTCATTGTAAGCTCTTGATGTTGTTCCAGGGTTTGATACAAAGCAAAAACAATTTTTTAGTCACTTGACTAAGATACATTGGTTTGTGGCTGTTTAATTTTAACTTTTTTTTCTTTCGCTGATTCCAGGTGCAATGCTACCAAATCTTGTTCAACTTAAATTATCAAACAGTGTAATATCCACAGTCAGGTAAGGTTTAACAATCTGACGTTTAGATTTAAGGTTTTCATAGATTTATGGTTTTAAAGGAAAGCACCGTTGGTCGTCACGGCAACTCGTGTTTTATTCCCAGAGTTAGCGGTGTCATGTGAGTACAGTGTTCCAAATAGCTGCCTGCCAATGGCCAAATGACAGGCCAAATTTCAAGTTTTGCGGGCGAAAATAATGATACACTGCCAAATGAATAATAAGATGACATGCAAAATTTACTGGAATGACCTCTTTTAGCATGCGCCTTTACTATGGCAGGCTGCAATTTTTTTCTATTTCGAGCTCCGGAGTAGAGTTGCTC